AATAATAATAAATTTAAAATTTATCTTATAATATCATCTAATTTACAAATCTAATTTATAACTATAACAAAAAATAATACATTGCTTAATTTATAATGTAAAGAAATCAATAAATAAAATATAAGATTTGATTATCATTGTAAGTAGTATAATTGCTAATTATAATAAACATCATTAAAAAATAAGGGTATGAACCTCACAAATAAATAAATCTAATGTGTAATAATTAGTGTTGATAGAAATATAGAATTTAGTAACATAAATTTGCAATCATATTTTAATAAAATTAGGAAAATAAATGAAAAAATTTCATGTTTGCAATGTGAGATAATTGATAAACAACTTGAAATAAATTCTAAAGTTGTATGAACTAGTGTTATTTTTCTCTCTTAAAATATCCCATAAACTAGTAGTTTTTAAAATGTTCAAAAAACCAGTAGTAGTATTATTTTTTGCTTTTTTTAATAACCTATGACCTAGTACAATAATTTCATATAATTATGTTAATTTGTGCAAATTATTATATGGAATTTTATTTTTGTAATTATATGTAATTAAAGATTAATTATATGTACTTTATGTTTGTATAGTATAAAAATAAATAAATGTAATTAATCGTAATAAGGATTGAATATTAAAAATAAATAAATATAATTAATCTTAAAAGAATTATAGACCATTTTATTTTATAGATGTCCTTGTATACGAGAGAAAGATATATTTATGGTACCCACCCATCCCTACTTAATACAAACACCATAAATAATTTGGAATAATTTATAGCCATCATTTAAAAGGGCACGTCAATTTGGAGCAACGTTAGACCATGAGATTGTCCCACATCGAAGACAATGGGACGACAAATGTTTAATATAAGGTGTTGCATGAACTTCAGATGCGTGCAGGTGTTTGGGTTGGCAGAGGGTCACGTGCAATCCATGTAAGCGTAAAATGCGACTAAAAAAGAACAGCATTGAATAAAAAATTGGCGGGTTGCACTGGAGCCGCGATTCCGTGACGTGAGCGTGATGTTATAAGCATTTTTAAATAATAAAGTAGTATGGCTGAGTGAATTCATTTTTTCTATGGAACCGGCACAACATAGGCGATACCCGATCCGGATCGCCCGATTCCAGATCGGATCTCTGATTTTTCAAACACTGCATTGTAGGTAACTGCTTTGTACTCCTTCTCATGGTGCTTATGAGGCACATAGGTTTCAAGATCAGAATGGAAATTTGATTCTGGAATCTAGAATTCAACAAAATTCTGGAATAGAGAGATATATCTTCTGTTGGGTGTAAGGATCTGGGTCATATGAATATTATGTGTCCAAATAACAAATTGGATAGATTCCTTTGCAATAAAACTATTTGTGAGCATTTGCTTACTTGTACATTTTCTCTTGCTTTTATCTGTTTCTGTTATTCCTACTTCAGGAGCTATTTGATGGTGATACCCAGCTGATGTTGCAAGCTGTATCTAAGCTTTTCATATCCTTGTGAGGCAAAAGAGGAAGGATTTTTTTTTATTTTTTTGGTAAATGAAGAGAGAAGGAAGGAAAGGGAACAACATTCTTTAGGACAGTCTTTCTATACGTGTCGATAAGAGAGAAAGCTATTAAACATTTTTTGGTGAATGAAGAGACAAGAGAGGAAGAAGAGAGCAGCCTTTCCTGTACATATGATGGTAGACAATAGAGGAAAGGGTCATGTTATACATAAAGCAAAAATGACATCTCTCTCTACTCTTTGGTCTCTCTTCTTTCTCAGCAGCATTCGTAAATATGTTTGGGCCCTAGGAAATTACATTGCTCTCGACTCTCTCTATTGTGGCTCGTTTAAATTAATGCATGAGAAAATGACATGCTCCCATTTTTAGCCATGGCCTCTCTCTGTCTCTCTTCTTCACAAATGAGTGGGGCGTCTAAGGTGGGCAAAAGTGCTTGCCTTAGGTCTGCCTAGGGAAATAGGCCGCTGCTGTTTGCTGGGCCTCCCTGGACCTAATAGGAGGCCAGGTGGCCGAATTTTCTTTCACCGTGCATCTTCTTAGCTAGTTTCAAAATATGCTTTGCTTTGTGTCCTAAGCCTAAGTATTTGTAATGTTCAGTTTTTTGCAAACTTATCCTAGAGTCTTCTTCCTGTCAGATATTTTTGACCATATGTCTATACCTCTTTGCTTTTAATGATACTTGCTCTCTTGCTCTCTAAATGATCTTTTTTCAATGAAGTTGACTGGAAGTGTCTATAAAGCTGGGTGATTGTTCCATCTAGGCTGATATTAGCTTTTTCAAATTATTTGAATTATCACTTATTCCTAATGCAATTTAGGCTTGCAATTATGACATCATCTTTTTGGTCATAGTTTATTATGAGTTCAAGCATTTCAATCTTTGTTTTATTAGTCTTTCTCAAACAAGTTGTCAGAAAAGTGTACTTTGAAATGGGATGTTTTTCTTGTAAGATGTCAAAGCCATCTGTTATTCATTGTTAAACAATATGAAACTAAAAGTACATTGTGTTGTATTTTATTCTCTTTGACGGTTGGGGCCTTATTCTTTGCTCTTGGAAGCTAGTTCTGTTTACTCTTCATTGGTGAATTTTACCTTTACTTTTGTTTTCTTCATGAAAGACAAATCTGAAATGTAAGACACCTTTCTCAAGTTATTTGTCTTTATACCCAAGATAGATTACCTGATGCATAATCAGCCTCCCCATACATCATCATCATTGTCAAAGCCTTTCGAGACTAATTGCGGTCGGCTACATGAATCCTGGTCCACCATTCTGCTCTATTGAAGGCCATACCCTTAGTGAGGCCATAAGTCTCTGTATCTTTTCTCACCATTTCCAACCATGTCCTTTTGGGCCTACCCCTTGCCCTCTTTGAGCCTTCCACTTGAACTGACTTGCACCTTCTAACAGGTACTGTATTGGGTCTGCGCCACACTAGGCCAGCCCACCTAAGTCTACTCTCTCTAGCCTCTCCACACATCATCTCAACAAATTTAAGTAGTTTACCAAGTCATTAACTTGATACAGAAACTGTCGACCTGGTGAACAAATAGTTGTTGATGCTTTGGTTTTGAGTTTCTGTATTGAGCATGTGCATTATATGTATTTTGTTTTGAGCATGTGCATTATATGTATTGCATACTTGTACTTCTACCAGGTTCATTTCTTTATGCTCTAACCTCTTAAAAGGGAAGTTTACTTATTCTGTAGACACAGACTTTTTTGTAAAGGAATTACCGCCTCATTAGTATGAAGGACTGTTATGTTTCTCTCAGTTAGACATCTGAAGGGGAATCACATCATTTATATGAAAGATAGAGATCCCTTGTGCCTTTTACTTAATAACTATTTTTGAAGTGTATTATACTCTCATCTAATCTACCATGCCATTTTAGCATCTGTTCTACGATAGTACTGTAATCGTATGAAATTTTCTTCTACGTTGCTTGTTATGCTAACTTGGGGTTTTATGGTTTGATATGTATCACTTTTTGTGTTTCAGGTGGATCCTAGGTTTTTGTGGAATCGAAACTTGTTAGAAGAGCTTATTGAGTCCAAAGTATGGATTTTATTGCTTTGTCCCTTTTCATGTGTCTTGGGAGTCTTTGGGAGTTCAAGATATCACGCCGTAATTTTCCTTCTATTCCCTGTCGTTTGTGCAGTTTGATGAGTACATCATTCCATTGGTTCAAGGAAATATCCTTATACTACTTTGCTTGTGTAATCTTATGGGCTCCCCCTGATTTCCATCTCAATTTATTATACAGTATTCATTTGACAATTGCCTTACTTCGCAGAGTGATTCCATATTCTGAAGTGTTTGAATTGTTTATCTTAACATTTGCTTAAGTTTTCAGACTGTGCAGATCACAGTCAAAGGTTCACCTGCACAGATTACCCTAATTTCAAGGAGATGCACACGCCGTCTAGGTAAGATAGTTCTGCCATGGAAACCGATAAAAAAAAATGTTTATATTACTGAATTTAACTTGCCGTTACATGTCATTAGGCTAAGTTGTAAAACTTTGGGTTTCTGGAAAGTAAATGGCACCTTCAGTTCTTTGTTGCCATTATTATTCTTGATATCATTTTATCAGAAACAAAAAAGAGAAAAAGAAAGAAAAAACTTTTCAATTTTCCTTTTTGAGGAATTTAAAGTTCATTCCTCAAGGAAACTGTTGTCATGGTTTTGTAGAAGCCTTCAGTTTGGATTGATTTTGAATTGGGTTATAAGTAAACCACTCTATAGGCTTACAATAGAGCCTCTTGGCTTAGTGTTCCAAGGCACAAGCTCCACAGCATAGCGGCCAAGGTTTGAATCCCATCATACCTTAATCAACAACCACTCCACTCCTCCCTCCATCTGCATCTTGCTCATTTGAGAAAAAAAGGACATAAAGGATAAAGTAAATGGAAAAGTGCTGCATTGTGTTGTGTGGTGTCCTGTATATGAACATATTAGTTATGCCTAATATCCTTACCCAATAAAATGATCATGTGTTTTGTATTGTGAACAATTATTGGCTCTAATGACAAGTAGCAGTTTCATTTTGATCTGTAATAAAATTCTGCTGAGTATTGGATTATTAGGAACTAGAATGTGGAGAAGAGGAGCCAATTTGGCCGGAGACACCGCTAATTTTATCGAGACAGAACAGTTGCTCAATTTTGAAGGTTTCCAATCCTCATATTTACAGGTGTCTACTCTGCCCTTGCAATCTTATTTTTTCTTGTGAAAGTTAAACTTGGGAACCTGGTAAGAATAGATGGTTAGACATGATGTTGTGACACCTGCCACTCTGACCACCTGTGCCTAGACCCATTCTCACCTGCTGTTGCATGTTTCTAAAAGGAATCCATTAGTATATTATAGTGAATGGACAACTTGAATTATCCAGCTATCCTTTTTGAGATTATGGTTATGATTGTATATCTGAATGTAAGATTTTGGTTTGGAACAGCCTTAATGGGAATATTTTTAGTAATGTGCATGTTTCTGGTTTTTATTATGTTCAAATTATACTATAGTTAGTGAACCAATGGTTTGTAGTTTAAGAGTTGTGAAGAATAATTATAATAACAGGAAGCCAGTATTTACCCACAACTTTATCTTTTATTTGTCCATATTATCTGAGGGACCTTGAAACTGTTCCCATATCCCTTGTTGTTCCTCTGCTTTCTACCATGTAATTATCCTCAGACCCCATACTTCCTCTCCAGGCCTTTTGTCCTGCTCCTGAAAACCAGTTCATGACCACCCTATATTCATCTCAATGAGTGGATGCTGAATAGTGCTCCTTGATGACCCTTGAAGGTCCTAGTATTTTTGTTTCTGTTCCTCTGTGGCTATGCCTTTCACCTCATGTGCAGAACCCCCCACACCAATTGCCCCCCCTCCCCTCCCCAACAAAAAAAAAGAAGGAAAAGAAATTAAATTACTGTTCTTGCTCTTTGCAACACCTGTCTCTAGTGGTGACAGCCCCCTAATCTCCCAAAACTGTTGAACCCCTAATTAATGCTGACGAAGTGGGTCCCTGGGCTCCTAAAATTTGACATTGATGTACCGTGTGGTATGAATTTTGGCTTTACCTTGTAAAACTGTAAATAGGATGTCATAGTTATGATCCTTTTTTGAGATCTACCATAAAATAACGCTTATTCCCTTTCTGTAATACTTCAGGTTATCAATTTGCTCCTTGTTTGGCTGCTAATGAAAATGGATCTGCATTTTTTGAAATGCAGATGGCCATCAGCAGGATTTTCAAGCTAACCGCATTTCCATTAATCATCCATCACTATCACCATCCTTTACTGTCAATATAACTCTAAAACCTTCACTAACTTTAGCTCCCTTGCCAAAGCAGAACGACCACGATCATGGAAACTAAAACTAAATTGGCCCCAGAAAACCAAAGCTACCACCAAATTTGGTCCACCAAACTAAACCCCAGCAATTTGTAAACAAGAAACAGACCCAAGGGATTGATGTCGAACCACAAGAGTAGATTGTCATTGTCGAGAGAAGCAGCAACCTGCAACGCTCTAAAGAAAGCCTTTCCTTACTATTTATGCTCATGATCCAAACGCTTCACCGAAATAAAATGGTCAAATTCCAAATTCCCTCTATGAGCTCCTCTTCCCAATACTCTTCTCCACAAAAAACATGAACCACCAAAGCAATAAAAAACATGAGAAACTAAATTTATAGGAAACAATAGGAAACGAACCCTGAAACCCAACAGAACAACATGAACAAAGCAGTGATCTTCGAACGTGATAGAAGTTTGGGAACAATTGGGTCACAATATATAGCACCCATGAAACCAAGAAACAAATTTTATAACCAGAGCATTAAAATGTAAATGAAATTAAATGGAAAAAATGAAAGCACATAGGCCACCTCTTGAGAAATTTTGTGAATGTTTCTCTCTAGAGATTGGATCATCTTCCATTGAGACTCTGTAGAAGATGGTTCATGGATTTTGCCACCCATTTCTCTCTCTAGATTCACCAAACAAACAGTTGAGTTCGGGCCTTCTAGCTCCATTTGAGAGCCAGGACTCAAACGAAGGAAGATTGAACAGATCAGGGCACGCTCTACAACTCCACTGATTTCTTGGCACTCTACAACTCCACTAATTTCTTGGCATTCTCCATTATCGGAATCACCAAGCAACCATGCCTTTGTTGCAGTGTCTTGATCAGGTCAACACATTTGTGTCTCATAACCCTTTGAATCAAACCCAAGAAACTGAAATCCTAGAGGGAGAAAGCGAAAACATACAAATAGATGGAGTTAATATCTTGGAGAGCAAAGGCCAAGTGGGTAATATGGAAATGGGTTTTGGGGCTTTTGATGATGAGAAAGGGAGGCATCAACTGCGACCAGCTGTGAACTTAGAAGTTTTTGTTGAGTCTTGGAGCGAGTGGAGGTAAGGAAGCTGGCCTGCTGTGAACTGAGAACTTTTTGTCTTGGAGCGCCCAATTGGTGAGGGACAGAGGGAGGCCTGAGAGGGAGGGAGGCGTGCTGTGAACTGAGAAGTTTTTGTTGAGTCTTGGAGAGCCCAATTAGTGAAAGTTATCAAATGAAAAAGAAAACAAGCGGTAGAGACCCCCTTTTTAAATTTCTAGTTTGTGATCTTATTTTTAAATGGAGGTTCATTTGATTTAGGCACCCACATAGGCCAAAACGTCAACCCATTTGTTTTCACTTTTCACAAACAAACTAATCATCAAAACACCCAGAACCACTCTTTGGGTACCTTTTATCACAAACACGACGCTTATATGCCTAAACAAATGGGAACCACCAGACATATCTCTAGTGGCCTAGAAGTCAAATAGCCAAGATGAGGGTTAACTAGAAGAGCTGCGAACAAGCATGGATAATAATGCTGGATTAATTATTGTATAGATGATAGAATAACACATCTGATTTACTGTATGATCTCAAATCATGGATGTGTTCTTCTGTGGATATCTCCAATCACAGATATGTTCTTTTGAGGATGTATTACCAGTTAGCACCGATGGCATGGTAGATGTGGATGCCATCTAGTATTACTGGAGCAGCCAGCTTGTTCTGAAACTATCTTGTTCTGATTCATTGCAATCTTCTGCAATACGAGATGTCATATGTGGCTTACAAAGAAATTGCCGAAGTGCTGTAAAAATAGCATATGTATCCTACATCCTTAGTACAATTGACACAACAGAGACAGTTATATCCTTGTTAATAGCACATATAATTCAATCTATGTGTCTTGTATTGTTCATCCCTTCCATTAGTTAAATTCTTGATCCAAGTAATCTCAGTGATAGAATTGCAAATAAATTGTCGAAATATTTGACTAGTGGTTCTCATCGTTTATGTTGAAACATTTGATTGAGCAAAATGAAATGGCATAGTGGGTTGTCTTGTATCTGAAATAATTTTGTATGAGGTAGCATTTCTTTTTTACTTATATATATATATATATATATATATATCTAGCAAATATTTGTTCTATCTTGACCAATGTTGGAAAAATCGAACCGGAACGGTTAACCGGACGTGAGCCTGGAAGCGGTTCAACTGGCCTAACCGGTAAACCGGCCGGTTCAATCGTTCTAACGGGGCAAGTCCTGAGTGGTCAAGAAAGTGTTAAAAAAATCTACTAAAATATGAAAAGTATATTTGACGAATGATTAAACAAAGCACATCTAAATGAAGTTGAAAATTAATAAAAAAACAAATTTTAAAGAATCGATTTGTGCTTAGGGGTATTTTTGAATTTTTTTTAAAAAGATGGGAAAATGTAAAAATAAATATCAATGGCCAAAACAATTTTCAATTTTTGCTATAATGATGAAAAATGTTAAAAATACATTAGAAACAAAATCCCTTATTTTTTGAGATTTTGTATAATGTTTTTTAATTTTATTTTAAAAATACCGGGTTGGTCACCAAAACCAATCGAAACAAGTTCCGATCTAACTGGGTGGTTACTGGTTAGAACGATCGATTTTTCCAACAATGATCTTGATAGGTCACCATGCATCTTTAATTTATTTTATTATGTTGACTTTCTATAAACTTGTCCTACTATTGCAACAATTTGATCTATCGAAAACTGATAACGAAGATTAAACTTTATTCATAATTCAAGTTGGTTATGTAGTTAAAAGATTTTCCTGTTATTCCTAACAGGGAATTTTTTTCAACTTCTTTTATGCAGATTCGTGGTTCCATTCCAGTTCTTTGGGAACAAATAGTGGATTTGAGCTATAAGCCAAGGCCGAGAATTATAAATCATGAGGAAACAGTATGCCTAGATATGTGAATGCATTTTCTTCTATTGATTTGATCAATACATGCATAGCATTTGAACCTTTCAATTTGCAGCCAAATGTTGTGGCACGCCATTTTCATGATCTTACGCAACGCTATGGGCAAGTTTTGGTTCTTGACTTGACTGATCAGGTATGGCTTTTATACTTTGTCATTCAAAACATGTATGGCTATGTTTATTTTTTCTGTGTTTAAAATGGGGCTAAAGGACTTTCCAATTTTGGTTGGAGTTTAAGTGTTAGTAAGCTTTTTAATGTTCTTTTTATTTTGGAGAAAATTTTACTGGTGCTGCAACTTAATAGGGCGAATGATTATTTTGAACTCACGTGCTACAGGTGTGAGGAGAAATGTATTTTAAGAGAATTGTGAACTTTTTTCTGCTACAATGTTGTTAGTTCCCTATTTACATTTTTCGTATATGTTTTGGATTGTGTCTAGTCATTCTGATATCTGAAAATAGTTGAAAAGAATTGGTAGCGAGAAATATTATTGGTTAGATAGCTTAATGAAGGTTGGATGTTGTTTTCTGTGATGCTCTCGATTGGAACATGGACTACTAATAATGCATTCTGCATGATACTTCCTCTCTCCTTTCTCAGTCTACTTTCTCTATTTCCTTGTCTAGGATACTTGTTCCTGTTAATGGTTTTTTTTGAAACTAAGTTGTTACTGTTAATGGTTGAGAAAGCCAATCTTACTTTTCTGGCCCGAACTTCTCGGTGATCCCTTTCCTTATTTTTGCTTTGGAATTTTTTCTCCTGTATCTGTTCCTATGCCAGTTTTTTTATATTGGAAGAAAACTTTAGGTGTCCTGTTCCTGTTTCCTTGTGCTGTTCCTGCACTTGCTTTCCCCTTGTGTTTTCTTCTTCTATCTTCTTTCTCTTTTTATGTTCTCATTTCCTTTCACCTCCTTCCCATTTCTGCTGCTTCTTCAATATCATAGTGCTTGTGTTCCTTCTTGTTAAGGTGCATTCATCCACTTTCCCTTTTGCTTTCTTTTCATGAATGCTTTGGCCTTTGTTTTCTAACACCCCCTTCTAGCAGATATTTATCATTTTTATTGAAATTTATTTTTTTGCCACATTGTTTGAAGGCATTTTTCCTACTTTCCTTCTCTCCTATCTCCTTCATGCTGCCTCCCCTGTCTTTCTTGATTTAATGTGAACAGTCCAAGTGGTTGGAGGAATCCATGAACCACACGGAGCAACTATATGCTGGTTAGTCTAGGTTATATGTGCATAATTTGAGAAAGTTTAGAAATCTGGGAATTTGGAATTTGGGCCACCATCCTTCGGCTAATTTCCGTGTTTTCCTTTTCTTATTATATAATTTATGGTGGAAAACAAACTCATTCATAATCATAAGTCTAATTATGATATTCACTACATAGCCCAATATTCTGGAATTTTTTTTTTAATATAAAATGAATTATTATTTTTAATAGAATATTTGTAGATTTGGTCTTGTAATTTTATCCTGAGATAGACGAACTTAAGTTGATCGACTAAAACCTCCATATGCATGTGCAGTTTTGCTAGTTTAGCATTTATGACTTGGACTTTATCATTTCTTGTTCACATGAACTTTTTTTTTTTCTTTTTGCGAAAGCAATAAATTATTGGTGGGGTACTATGTAAATCGGTAAGATTCCTTCAAGGTGGTTGGTCTTTATTGAAGTAAGAATGAAGATTATCATTAGCTTTTATTGACATATTCCATCAAAAATTTGAAATAATCCTATATCTCTTCATTAAATAATTTATGCTTCTAGCGGTGGTTAGTGAGGTTCCTATTTGTCTCCTACTCTATTAAATACATGTTTTAATATTTTAAGTTAGCATATTGAACCTGCCATTCCACCATATAACATGGCTGATCTCTGACTTCTTTTTTTCTTTTATATGTTAGCTTTGAATTGAACGTTTCTCTTTTGATTCTGTATAGTTTATCTCTTTTTATTATTTTGTGATACAATTTTGCAGCATGGGGATGAAGGCCAACTAAGCGCTGCATTTGCAAAGGAAATGCACAAATTGTCTCACATAAGGTGCAAAACATGCTCAAAGCTCACTTTCATTTCATTTAGTAAGAGGGCTATTGTTTGAAACTCTTAGATAAGAAATTATCTCCATTGATCGAAACTTAGACATGTAGCCTTTTTTTTTCCTTATGAATTTGCTTTATAGTCATTCTCTGGTTGATTGTATAATTAATTTATTGCTGCAACGGAAGTTCTTTAGTTGATGAATCCTTGGGAGAAAGTTTGGTGTCTTTTATTTCAGAAGAAAAAAAAAATGGAGTCACTATCCACCATAGTTTTACTTTGGGGATTTTGTGCCCTAATCTTGAAAAGATAATATGATACAAACTATGTAAGATGAAATATAGTTTCTCTAGAGTTAAAACCTAGGAGTGGACTGGTATCAATGGGTCAAGGGCATTCCACTTGCCCTAGGAAGCATGATCCACTACTGTTTTCTTATCCAACCCAACAGAGACCCACGACCCATAGTCTCAAAGCAGGGGCTCATGATTTACGGATTTCATTTCCCCCTCTTTACGAGCAAGTCTAGCACTTGTCACTACAATGCAAAAGGGGTTCTCTCTATACACATGTACATGTGTCCCTCTATAGGGTTGCTTCCCAATAATGCTGTTGTTTTGTGTACATGCCTTGCGGAAGTTTGTTGAAGCTTTTGCCTTTGTTTTCATAGGCTTGCAACCGCACACAGGAGATCACACAATTTTCTAGGCCTACAAACATCATCCTTGGGAATCTCTCCGACATCAGCAAGGGATGACCCATTGCAAACCCGTTTTGGTAGTACCACATGCTCAGGACTAAGGGTGTTGGACCTGACCAGGGTCATAAATCGTCCAACCCTTGGTCAGTTAATATATATACTACTACTGAAGTGCATATTCTACTATAAATTATTATATTTACAAGCTCTATAGGCCTTTAAAAGGCACAAAACCCAACATGAGCAACCTATGAAGAAAGAACCCCATCATCCATTCCCTTGAAGGGCTTCGTGATTATGCCAAGGAATCTATTAATTGGATAAGAGATATGCGGAAGAATCTCACTAGCCTTACCTCTTCTCATGGGTGAGATGTTAGTAAGTTTTATATGCGACGAGTCCTCCTAGGCTGTCAATCCATATGGTTTGACTCTGGATTTACTATATAAATTTGTTGCGGTAGAGTTGAATCACTAATGATTGTGTAATTTATATTATTTGTGGACACTTGTAAGCCATAGGTCATAAAGATTTTCCCAACCCTTGAATGCTCCCTCTTCTCCATCATGTGCTTTCCAAACACTTTGTTCTCTGGGGTTGTTATTGCCCTTTTATTGTGTATTTTTTGAAAGGCATTGGAAGAAATAGGCTTTACACGGTCCTTGTAAAAACAAGCCAGTGGCACGTCTATCAGGACTAGGGGTACTGTAACCTGAGAGGGAGAAGGCTACTATGAAGTATGATAAGATCATTCTCAAATAACTTGTAAACCTAGTCAATGAGAATGCCACCAGATACATTCATAAATTTAGTTCTAACAATATAACTAGGAGGCATAAATTTACGACATTTAGGTAAATCTTTGATATCATGCTTAATTGCTTATTTAATTGTTTTCTTTGAAATGAAATGAGTTTACGACATTTAGTATAACTTTGAAACTATGCTTAGTTTTTTTGCATGTGTGTGTGTGTTTGTGTATTCTCTTGTTGCCTTTGAAATTCAACACTGTTTGCTATCAATTTCTGTAATTCTCTATATTCGGATCTTCATTCTATTTCCATGCATTGTAATATGTTCACTTTGACTCCTATCTGCTTAACATTATCCAATTTACTTCCAGATATTTGTCTTATGATTTCCATAGCCTTTGTGGCAAAGGGAACTTTGAAAACTTGGACAATCTCTTTGCCCAGATCTTTGAGGACTTTGAGAAGCACAGGTAATCATGTTCAACGGATAATTTCTTTTGAAAATAACTAATATAATGGAATTTTCCCAGTTAATGATAACAAGTGATGGTGGTTTTAATGCATTATTGTGCCAGTTGAGCAGATTCTTCTTAATGAAATCAGATGGAGAAATACTCTTGGAGCAAACTGGCATTGGGAGAGCCAATTGCATTGATTGCTTGGACCGTACAAATGTTACTCAGGTTTATTAATCTTCTTAAAGTTAAATTTTCTGTTTTGCACTTTTATCTTTTATAGTTGAGCATAGCCAGCATCTTGTTGTCAATTACGCCACATTATGTCGTATTCGTCATTCTTGATAACTGGATTAGTAGATGTTATGGAAGGATTCTAGTTTATCCTTTCACGTTATAATCTCCCCCTAAATGCCCTTGTAATGATGGTGTTCTTATTTGCAAGGGAATCCTGATGCAACCATCATCCATGATTCCATATCTTTAGGAAAATATATATGCTTTGGTTGGTAATCTTCTTATGAAATAAGTATTAGAGGAAATTGTGTTCCTTACATTTCACAGAGCTTTATGTATGACTTGCATTTTGTTTTCCTTGAATTCCCAACATGTTTTGATTTCCTTGGTTTCTGATTTTAGTTTGTTTCCAATGCTTTTTTTAAGTTGTTTCCATAAAATTTTAGTCTTTCGTATTAAGTTGATCCTGAAACCTCATCTACAGTTTGCTCTAGCTCTATATATTGCTCTCTCCAAAAACATCGTGTGAGAAAAACATGACATCCATGAAGGAGCCCGTCAAACTTTATTTGCCAAATGGCAAAGGCATTTACAAGAGTTTATTGAACACCTGCATGTTATAAAAATTCTTAGATAGCATGTCCCGTGCGAATTTTGGATGCATGGTAGTGCAAGAATCAGCTGGAGCATTTCCAAATATGCCCTCGTATAAGTTTGCATGAATCTGTGTGTGTTGTGTGCGTGCATGTGTGTATATAACTCAAATGATTAAAATGCATTTTGATGGGATCGTCACAAAGGTTGATCAACTTTAATTGGAGTCACCAGCGGTGAACACGTGGATCAAAAAGAAATGGGACTAAGGGAATTATGGTTACATGTAGGAAAATACTGTATATGTTCCAATAAGGATATTTTGCATAATCACTTAATATTTCTTAGGGTAACGAATATTCTTCCACTGAATACCTCCAACCCCAGTAACCAAAATAATCGTCATGTACTCATGTGTATAGGAGGTGAAGTATTCAGAAATAACTAACCTGGCTCAGAGTGAGACTGTTAACTGCTGACATGCATGTGTTCTGTTACTGCAAAGTAATTATGTGGTAACAGCTCATTGTTGTTTCTAGATTAGTTGGGTACATGTGAAGAGATTTGCAACCTTGGAGATGCACTGTCCTGCATCATTAGTTTAATTGAGCAGGTTGAGTGATGCATGGTGATTGTTGGAAAATTTTCATCCTATGCTAGCATCTAAGTGTATTTATTCTTGTCAAAGATGGTCTTTTCATCATTTGCAATTGTTTTCTTGATGTGTAGTCTCCTGATATGTATTTTTAGCATTCCTATACATGATGTGTTGCCCCATATAAGTTATTAGAAAGCTCCAGCTAAATGTAATATTATCCAGAAAATTTTCTTATCCCTTGCTTAGTAGCTAAATTTCATGCAAGTGAACTTTCATTAAATTGACTTTAAGCAGGGTGGAAGCAAAATGATATTGTAGATGGTAGCACTAAAATGAATGGGGATACGTCTGGCTTTGGCTTGTTAAGGAGTGAAGATTTTGTTTCACATAAAACTATAGAACATGCTAAAATCATGATGAAGGAAAGAATATAAGTTGAACAAACTGGTGAAACCTGGGACATGGTTTGTATTAAGCACCATTGTGCTTGTTCCTATGTTCCAATGTTCAATCCTTGTCTCTTAAATCCAGTTTTACTATCTACCTTGTACAAAGCATGATAGGATTTCGAGATGTTAATGGAAATCTAGAAAACCAAATATCTTACTATTTTTTTATCAAAAAAATGGATAGAATGCATTTGAACGGGTGAATATGAAAAATGACTTGGAAACAAGATCGACGGTTTTCGTATAATATGCTGCAAAGATTAAATAGATTTGTTGACATATTCTATACGTGTAATATTTGGAGCAGGAAAAATATGTGCTTTCGAAGATGGCTCCCAGTAGTAGAT